TGGTCTGTAAGTTATATTTATTCTCAGTACTAGATGTGGTCTCAACAAACCCATGGCACTTCATCAATATTATTTTACCTTTTATCTGGAAATAGTGTTTTTTTATTCTTGCCATACAGTCCTCTGTATTAATTATTGCTCTAAAGGTCTTGCCATACCAGTTTATTCCTCTGTATTTACTTTAGTTTCTTAGTTTATTTTTGGATTTTGTTCTTCATTAATTTCAATGTAGTTTCCTTTGATTAGTATTATCCTCTCTTGGTTTATTGCTATGTCCACTTTAGTTTCTTTCCTGTTGCTACATTTATTTTATCGTTTATTGACCATCAGTAATCTTCACTCATCACCTGCTGCGCCGCCTAATCGTCATGTTTCACATCATGTGTTGATTTTTCACTGTTCAGCGTCAGATTCTCTGTTTTTATGCCATAATTCACATCTAGTCGCTTTGTTTTATGTCCTGCTTCTCCTGTTTTAGAGTTTTGCGCAATATGCGCGTCGTTTTTTTTTTTTAACCCCTTAAGGTGCAGGGCGGTCGGGAAGCGTATCGATGGGGAAAAGGCAGACTGACATAAACCTTTTAAAACAACGGAAACAATTTCGGTATTCTGATTATTGAAATGTAAAAGTGCTGTGGTTCCGTTGTTCTATTACACCCGTTTCATACCGGACCACTTACAGCTCCGGTGTTATCGCTATAAAATGAATGCTCTCTGTCGTGGTATCACCATGGAGGGATTTCTTTATTTAAATGGGTTCATTTTTCAGAGGGATACAAAGTGAGGGTATCGTGATTTTAGTAATCACATGTTTATAAGGGCAATTTTCTATTGTCCTTTCATGGAAGCGGGCAGCTTTCAAACGGAAATAAAACACTTTTTAATATAAGTTGCTGCTTTGACATGATCACAGAACTGCCAAAACATATGTACAAAAATACCAGACAAAGTGAATCACAGCAACGTCATCAGCCGGTGAGACGCTGAACTGATGCGGTGAAGCTACCAGTAGCAGGAGAACGGAGCTACGCCAAAAGCTAACAAACACTGAATAGAAGAGCTGTCATTGATAATGTTGCAGCCAAGCATGGTTTAATACACAATACAGTTTTAGCAAGTTGCTCAAAGTCTAAACTGGTATTGTTGTGCATTTAAAATGTAAAGTTTACCTTCGACCAAACGCCTCCCTAAGTAATCCCAGCGCCCCCTTTTGTAAAAATTTACACCAGCGAAAATGGGGGCGGCAACATGCATGGTGACATCATGCTGCAAGGAGTGTATAGTTTAAAATAACATTTGAAGCTCATTTAAGAATATCATGATATATATTGTTTATCGTGATATAGCAAAAATATTTTCCTCATATTGCCCAGCCTTGGGTGTAACTGGAAAAATAATAAATTAAAATGACTATGAAGAGAGCGCAAAGCTCCACAACGTTAGTGGTTAACTCACCGGCTAACCAGGAAGACATACAAACTTTATAGCCCAGACACAGAGCCACAGGCTGGGCAGCATGTTGAGATGTAAACGCTGCACATAATTATTGGTTCATAAAGAAGATAAATCATTCTCACCACTCGCTGAACTCACCTCTGAAAGGTGACTACAGGTTCTGTCATAGAGCAGCACAAGCAGAGCTAACATGGTGGGTTTTAAACTCAGAAACATAACTACTCACAGGGTTTGATGTACATATACATACAGCTCAGCCTGTGTCCAGTTTGAGTGAAAGGAGGCGCGCGATCCACACTGAGG